TTCTGGTCAGAGCCCGAAAGACTAGAAGGCATATAGAAATCCTGCCAGTAAAGACCAGACTCCGGAGGTTTCTGCTGGGAAGAAGGACTGCATTGGATGCTGGACTCCCCATGATGTGTGTTATGGCTTGACAAAAATTTTGTCTGCATTTTGCTCATGCCCAGAGACGTCGCCCAGGACTGAAGTTAAAATCAGTGAACTAATCTTGTAGAAGAAATTTCAAGACAGTCAAATGTTGAGGTGGTAGCATGGCTACTGTTGGGGGCATTTAGCCAGATTTAGTTTGAGAATCAAGAGCAAAATGATTTAAAATGTTATGAGTTTGGTCGGTAAGGAAGCTCCAATAAATCTGTGGACTACAGAGATAGAGCAGAGGAAATCTTGATTGCTGAGGAGTAACAGGAAAATAGAACAGATGGCTTGAGGGCAAGGAGTAGTAGACTCTACCTTTTGCAGCCTCAAAATTACAAAGGTAAAAGACTTTGCTTTGAGAAAAAAAGTTGCAGAGCACTGTGTTCCAGAATGGCAGTGGCATAAAAAATTTATTCTCCAGAATTGGATTCAGAGTGCTGAGTGATCAGGCACTCAACCCCTACAACCAAGAGAGAGGAAGCCTGGCTACTGCTCCAGCTGGCAGCAGACCTTGGCATCATCTTCATGGTTCTGGTTTTAGGTGCGTACAAAATGAAAGAGTTGTGAGGATCAGGGAGACCTCCACAAAGATATCAGGGGGGCAGAGAGGGCAGGCAGTGCGCTCCCTGCAAAGGCAATATGTGAAGCTGTGAAGGCAAGGCTGAAGGTGCAGTGGAGACCCCAGAAGTTTGGAGAAGCCAGGAACATGAATCATCTGAGGAAACCTACAAGGAGAGAGCAAAGCCAGCCCGAGAGAGAAGTGCTGGTAGCTACAACCAGCAGAAGTGTGGTGGGGGCGGGGCCACCTGAGCCCTTTGGAGCTCACAGCTTGCTACTGATTTCCTCAGATACTTAGACACGGAAGGAAGTGCAGGACTTCGTGTTTGCCCTGCTGGGTTTTAGACTTGCTTTGGTCCCATTTTTGTATCCTCATTTGCAGCTTTGGAATGGTAATGTTTATCTTATGCCACCAAATGTTGGGAGTGTTTAACTTTGTTTTCATTTGTGCAAGGGGTCACAGCTAAGAGTTTGCCTTATATCTTGGAGGAGATTTAGGACTTGAACTTTTCAGCAATGCTGAAACTGTTGGGATTTTGACAGCTCTTAGAGATAGACAATATACCTTTTGCATAAAGAATGTGCATGAGTCTTGGGGGGTCTGGGTGTTCCCCCAGAACCTCACGAGGTCATGGGGAATGGGCTTTTCAGAGGTGACTGAATCTAGAGTTTGTGACTGGTTCATTGTCCAATGCTGGGATAGAGGATTCAGTGCTACACTTGCCCTAAGGCAGGTAGCCTGCATACAATGTAAGAGAGAAAAAGGGGCTTGCTCCTCTCCTCTCTGGTTGCTTTTATTGCTTTCCCCACCATGAACTGTGGCCCTCTGCCATGTGCCACTCTGCCTTGGAGCCAGCCAATTATGGACAAAAACCTCTGCAAACTGTGAGTTAAATCTTTCTGTCTTTAATTTTGGATGTCAGGTACTTTGTCTCAGCAATGAGAAAAGTAACCAGCACAGCGTATGCTGCCACACTTTATCAGTTTCATGCTTTATCAGCTCTCGGCAGCCTCTCCACTGAGGCTGCAGAAAACACAGTCTTCCATGGGACAGTGGTTGAGGGGACTGAAATGCAGGAGTCTCGGCTTTGAAAATAGCAGCACAAGGTGATGAGAGAGGAAAGGTGTGTCCATGGGCCAGGGGAAGTTTTACCCGTGACGTGAGACACCTCACAGCCACAGCAGGTGAGGGCCAGCATGAGAATCATGTCAGCTCCCCACGACTCTCAGAGGGCTCACTTAATTCTGCTTTTTGTTTTTTTGAGACAAGGTCTCAGTATGGAACCGAAGCTGGCCTTGAACTCATGAGGAGCCTTCTGCCTTGGCCTCTTGAGTGCTGGAATTACAGGTGAGTGCCACATACCTGGCTCTTGTTTGCAAACACAGGATGTGCCCCAGTCTGGTGATCTCTGCCCTTGGGGTTTGATCCTGCCCTATGCAGCATCCACAGGTTTCTTTTTGGAGGGTCTTGTCACAAACCTGGTCATCGGTGGACAGCCAGTATCAGCCCCAGCCCCACGCCCCTTGTTCCCCCAGCCTGCCACCCTCCCTGTGTCTGAGCACCTCACTCTGCTGGTTGGATACAGACACTTGGCAGGCTGGACTCCCCAATCTGGGAAGAAACCTCTGTCTGCAGATTACAGGGCAGCTCTGGTGGCCAGGACCCAGGAGTTCTGGTCCTGCTCACAGAAGAACGCGTCCCTCACGCCCTCTCCTGGCTCCAGTTGTAGGAGACAAAACCCCTTCAAGAGCAAGATTCTGTTCTGGAATTCCAGCCACAGGTTCCCCACGCAGTGGCGTTGTCTCTGTCACCCTGGGGCTGTCAGAGTGTGGGACAGCCGGCTACAACTAGAGGAGAGAGTCACCATGTTCAGGATAGAACTCTCAGTCATTTCCTTCACATTTGATTCCTCCCCGTTAAATATTTTTGCTTGCAGAATAAAGCAGTGATGGGTGTTTCTGGTTGAGTATACTCCCTAAGTGTTTCACAGGACAGTCTACTTTTTTTTTTTTTTCATTTTGGCTTTTCGAGACAGGGTCTCACTATGCAGTTCAGGCTGGCCTTGAATGCATTGTGTACCCCAGACAGACCTGAACTCCCACAAACTGTCCTGTCTCAGCTTCCTGAGTGCTGGGGTTACAGGTGTGCACCATCATGGCCCACTTTCAACCTTAACACTGACATGATCTAAACGTGTTTTTCCTATTTCTCCATAGGGCAGGATCAAACTACCCAGTGCTGAGGGAGAAGACCAAGTCTTCAGCAGAAAATAGCAAATGAAATCTTTGTTGATTTTTCTCTTACGGCTTCCACAGTTGTTCTTTTTTCTTATTTTCTTAAAAAGGGGAGAAAATGACCTACCTACAAGCACAATGCTATTTTCAGAGTTCTCAGATAGTCCAGAAGAGCCATGGTTAGAGGACAGGAAAGAGGTTTTGTTTGGGCTGTGTGTCTGGTCCGCGCCAAGGATGCGCCTGGCTGGGCTGGGCTCGGTGAAGCTGCCCAAGTCCACTCACAGGTAGAAGGGACAGGAACCGACCGGGCAACAACAGGGTCTTTGCTCCCTGATGCTGCAGCTTCACAGGGGTCTGAAACACGCTCCTCAGCATGCATGGCGTGCACGCGCACACACACAGACACACGCGTGCATGGCCACCCTGCCCCGCCCTGCGACAGCAGCGAAGCCCCAGCGCCAAGCTTGCACCGCCCTCAGCCAGCTCTCTGCTCGATGACGTCACACTGCCCGATGGTGTCACGCTGGATGACGTCACGCCAGGGCCACCCAGTTACATCCCAGGATTCAGAAGGATGCAAAGGCCCTGACGTCTCTCAGATCCTGCCCTGCTCTCCCCTCAAACTCCCATGTTTCCCTGGAGAGCCTAACTGGGGGTTCACACGGACCCCAGCCGCGCCCCCAAGTAGGACCCTCAAGCGGAACAATCACGATTGTTTAAACCTTATCTGATGCTCTTCTGGCTTTCTGACTCCCTTAAAAACATTTGTTGTGCTTCCTTCCTTGTTTTTCTGTTTCATTTTGGTTTTCTGAGACAAGAGCTTTCTACACAGCCCAGGCTGGTCTCAAACTCTGTGATCCTCCTGCCTCAGCCTCCTGAGTGCTGGGATCACGGGTGTGTGCCACCATGCCTGGCTGAATCCGAATCTCTGCTCGGTTTAGCAGGGGTCTGGATCCCACACTGAGGCCACTAAGGTGGCCTAATGTCATCACTCTGTCCACCCTGAATTCTTATTGCGGGACCTTTTCCTGTTCTTCTGTCTACTGGAGGTTGAACCCAGGGCCTCCCACTGCGCAGTATCCCCAGCTCTTTTTAAATTTTGTGCCAGGGAATTGATAAATTGCTACTTGCCTAAGCAGGGCTCAAATATGTGATCCTCCTGCCTCAGCCTTCCAAGCACTGGGATCACAGGTGTGCATGCCTGGGCCAGCTTTTTCTTTCCTTTCCCTCTTAGTATTGAGGGTGGAACTAGGGCCCCGGCCTGCTAAGCCTGCGTTTACCGCTGAGCTCACCTTCCCGGTCCCTTGTTTCAGAGCAGCCTTGGGCTTTGGGTGTCAGGTGCTGTCCCTGTTGCTGAGTTTGCGGAATGCGCCGGGGTCCCACGGATCCACTGTGCTCCCAGACCCTCTGCACCTCTGATCCCCCTGGGCTGGGGTCCTCCCTCCCGGTTCTGCGAAGCTCTCCGTCCCCACCTCCCGGGGCTGCGAACCCCTCCAAGCTACCCCGCCTGAGCACGACATCTCCAAAGCAGACCACAGACAAGAACCCAGCAAACACAGAAGCTCACACAAAAACAGAGACCTCGGCGTCCCTGTCAGAGCCTCCCATCTGCCGTGCCGGCCGCCTTGGGGCCCCCATCAGAGCACCCTGCCCAGTTGCTGGTCCGGTGCTGTCTCTGAGCCTTCTGCCTCCTCCGGTTCCCGAGCCTGTCACCGAGGGGTTGGCCGCTCCCTGCCTGGAGCGAAGCTGCCCAGGAAGAGCTGGCAGGAGGCCGGGGTCCCCCATACCAGAGGCCTGTGGCCGTCTGGTGGCCTCAATCCCGGGACATGGCCCGGCTGGACATCCCCAGTGGGGTCTCCTGATGTCACCGACGTCCTGGACCCGAGGCCGTCACACAGGGCCGCAGGCGACACAGGAAGCCGCTGGGGCCAGCGGCTGTGGCACAACACGACTGAGACAGGAGCAGCACACACGACGGACGCGCGGACGGACACGGGGCCACGGAAGCTCCCCAGCCACAGGCCACGCGCGCAGCCGCGGAGCAGGACAGCGTTGTCTCGGGCGGCAAAACCTACCTTCCACGGCCGAGCTCAGTTTTATGACACCTTGAACAGAAACAGAGAGCGGCAGTTACGCTGTGGTCCAGGACCTCTCCCGGGCCCACCAAAGAGCGCGCGTCAGCGGGGCCGCCGGGGTGCCCTGCGCCTTGTGCACAGGTAATTCTCATCGGGGGCTGAACCTCACGTGCGGGACTCTCAGTTTCCCCAGAAACCTATAGGGGAGCTTTCCTTGAAGTAAGGGTCCCTGTGTGTTTGGATGAGACCGAGGCCAAGTCGGGGCCACTGTTCCTATGTATAATTGCTGTCACTGCTTCCATCGTACTGAAGACTGGACTCAGGACCCTTGCCTGAGCTACATCCCTAGTTCTTTTCCAATTTCTAGTTTTATTTTGAGACAAGGGCTCGCTAAGGCACTAAGCTGCTCAGGCTGGGCTTAAATTTGTAATCCTCCTGCCTCAGCCTCCCAGAGTGCTGGGATTACGGGTGTGCACCCCCATGCCTGGCTTCATTATGTCTTTTCTTGATCTAATCGTTTCATCTTCACATAAGCTATTTTTATTAGATGGAACCTCTTCAGGTCCACAGTTTGGAAATACTCGCACTGTGGAGCCCCCCACCCCAGTCCAGTCAGTGCAGGGAGACTCCCGGAGTGAAGCTTCCCAGAGCTTACCTACTGCCCCCACTGAATCCCTAGAGCTGGGAGAGAACCTGCCCTGAGCATGTGAAGCAGGCTCTGCTCAACCTTCCCCTTTGTTTTTAACAGAATTCATTTAATTATGTTGATAGACTTCAGTGTGAAACAGTGAGCCCTCAAGCTCCCCAGAAGTGTAACAAGAGCCTTTTGTAAGGAGCTGAAACCAGCTTCGGACTCTGGACTCTGGAGTGCAGTCTGAGCTGTTGTACGCTGGAGGAGGTAATGGGAAGCCTGGTTGTGCTGTCTAAGGAGGCTCAGTGCTTGCTGCCCTACAGAAACACACCCTGCTCCATCACCATGGAAACCAGCCACAACCAGTCACCGGTACACCAGAAAGCATGACCTGTGCTTGGACTTGGTTCTGATGGGGTGGCTAAAAGGAGGCAGAGTCAGGGTGTGCACAGACCTGCCCCCCTTTCCTCTTCCCCCTTTCCCGGGGAGGCTAGGTGGGGGTTGGGTTGCTCATCTTCCTGGTTGTGTCCACTTTTGAGCATCACTGTGGTGTCCAAGTGTCTCCAGGGAGCCACGCTGGGCAGGGGTCAAGTGGCCGTATGCCGGGACATCTGAAGGTTTCACACAGGGGACGGAGGGGCAGTGACAGGGACCCCAAAAGCACTCACTGAGGTGGAGAATGAAGCAATCGTGTGGCTTTAGAACCCTAGTTGTAAACGTTATTTTTCTGAGACAGGGTCTCACGGTGGAGCCCAGGCTGGCCTGGAACACACAGTGATGCCCCTGCCTCAGCCTCCCTGGTGCTGTAAACACTATTTAAATAAAAGCATTAGTGATTCATTAGCTTCCTATAGACATTTATTTTCTTGAACCTGAAATCAAACATTTCCATGCCTAAGGTAGGCTTTTCTATGGCAAAGTAACTGTGTTACGGTAAGAATGTAAAGTTAGCGGAATTCAGCTACATAGCTCATGGTGACAGACACAAAATCACAGGAAAGGGGGAGAAAGGATCTTTATCTTAAAGTGTGACTATTAGGATTATTTTACTGTTCAGTGATGATTGCAGATGTTCGAAAGCGACACACAGTACCGCGGACGTGAGAGACAAGGGAGGCGAGGTTGTGTGTGCGGACGTAGGCGCTGCCCCTGTTCGGTGCAAGCTAAGGACGCACAGAGATGCAAGACACACGAGGACCGCGTGCTCACTGCACATGGATTCTCCGGGCTGCGGGAGTCTTTGAAAACAGAACAGGAAGAAAAGTCACAGAAACTCAAGTCTCTGCCCTCAACTCTGTGTCTCGTGTGGCAAAATTCCTAATCATTTTGGGGAACTCATGGCCCTGGGCTTGCCAGGCAGGCACCGTGCTGCTGAGCTGCATCCCTGGCTCAAAATTCCTAGTCTTGCAGTGAACTGCAGCCAGTGAGTGAACTGTATCTTCTTCCAAGTTCCACCCAGTCAGGAGCCAGGCACATTTGCTATGACGGTTCTTCAATTCTGAGACCGTTCTACACTCTCTCCTACTGCCTTTACCTAGGGATTCATTTCTTTTTGTTTTCGGTCCTGGGAATTGAACCTAGGACCTTCCACAAGCGAAGCACATGGTCTACCACTGAATCATTACCCCCTCCCCCCAACAGTAAAGAGCAGGGATTAAACTCAGGACCTCGCGCTTGCCAAGCAAGCATTTGTGCTGCTGAGCTAAACCCCGGGCCCTATAAGGATTAATTTCAATAGAGCTAAGAGAATTCATAGGAGAAAGGCCTAGGCTAGTATAATTTTTACTGAAGTGTGAATGACTATGGTTCCCTAAGATACAGTGATATTTCACTGTAGTTGAAAAACGGAGCCAACACAAGACCCCAGGCGACACACTGCTGTTTCACGGCTCCTGCTTCATCTCACACGTGACTTCTCCCTCACCCGAGATGCTTTAGCAGGAGGCTGAGGCCTTCTCATGATTGGGTTACTGACCCTGATTTTGAGAGCCCGACCCCCTGCTCCCCTGTTCGTTCCTTCCCAGAGCCCAGCTTTCCAGGGTAAGGATGGCGAATGCAGACAACGTGCAGAGACGCCAGCGCCAGCGGGGGGTGGGCGGTGGGGTGTTAACCTTGCCGCCCTCTTCCTGGTCACTTTCCCTTTCTCCTGGTAGGCAAAGGAGCCAGCCTGTCTGGGAGTGACTTTAGGGCCCCAGTTCGTGTGTTTCTTACCGGATCGATGGACTGTGGCACTGCGACAGGGCCTGGTGCATGCAGGTCATGGGCTCTGCCCCTGGGCCACATATTGGCGTGGCTCTGCTTTGTAATGTTATTTTAATTAAAAATGTCTATTAGTATGTTTGCAGTACATAATGCTTACTTTCATCTTTGGGTGACATATATATATCTTTGAGTTTTGTTGTTAATTTTTGTCTTTGAGACAGGGTCTCACTATGTAATCAGGCTGGCCTTGAACTCATTTTGTAGCCCAAGCTGGCCTTGAACTCTCAGGAATACTCCTGCCTCAGCCTCCCAAGTGCTGAGATTATAGGTCTGCACCACCACGCTTGGCTTCTGCCCCTTATGTCTGGGGCTCCCCTGCAGAAAGGTAGGCCCTACAGCACTGCAGTCCGGGGCTTGGAGCTCAGCTTCTCCCCCCACCCCCCGCAACTATCCGCCCTCCCCGGGGCACAGAAGCCCTTGTTCCTCGGGGCAGGCAGCAAGTTAACCAGACGGCTGGAGGCAGACGCAGGCCTGCTTTGATCGTTCATCCTTGGAGCTCACGGAGGGCAGACACCCGGCGCCCGAGCTGGAACCAAAGCAGCCACCGCCCGGGCGACCACGAGGGTCCTAGGAGCACTGGGCGGAGGAGGGCAGAGCCCGAGGTCAGGCAGAGCCAGGGAAAAATCAGGCAGCTGCAGCGGGACGAGGAAGTGCTTTTTTCTGCAAAAATCCAGCTGTGCAGACTCGGAGAGGCGATTTTGGTGGCAATCCTGAAAGCTTTCAAAGAAAGGCTTTGTGAACCATGCTTTTCCCCTGGAGGAGCTCTTCCTTTCATGAAGGGGTTCACCTTTGCACTGGGTGCAGCCCGGGTCGGATCAAAGTCGCTGTGATTCCTTGGCGAGACTGCATCGCCCCCTGGTGTCTGTAAACTGTCATGACGCTATGATCCCGGAGAGGCCCTGAAGCCGTGCAGCCCACAGGCTGGCCTCGGACTGACCGCGATCCCCCTACGCTGCGTGTCGGCTTCTCCATCTCCCTCACACACCGCGCGCCTCTCGTGCTCCCAGCCTCTGCCGGGCCCAGGGACCCCTCCCCAACTAACCGCATGACCCAGATCTTCTCACTTCCCGGGCTCCACTCGGTGCGCGGGACAGAGAAGCCCTGGCAGCCCTCACTGCGCAGTGAGTCTGCCCGCCACACTCGTCAGCCCCGGCACAGCTGTGCGAGGGCTCTGGGACACGGAGCTGGGCTTTCTCTTCACTGCTGCCGCCTTTGGTGCCCCGTATTCTCCAAGAACGGGGAGCCCACCAGTCAGTCACTGGGAACTGCAGCTCTTTCGAGGCAGTCAGTGGAAATCACCAGTTGACAGCAGACACAGGAGTGCGAGCACTGGTCCGCAGCTGCCGTACAAAGCAGTGTGAACGCCTACGCGGCTGTTACGAATGAGAGGAAGCCGACTGCGGCTAGGAACACTGCTGTTGCCACGGAACCACCTTGGCAATGGCCTTCCTTTTCCATTAGCACCGCCTCCAGCCCCTCCGGACCCATCATCACCTGTTTCTCCCTTCAGCATCTCCTCCTCCTCACCATCTCCACGGCCGCCATCACTCGACCTCCACCACTTCCACAGCCTCCAGCATCTTTCTGTACCATCACTACCTCCATCACGCCGCCATCTCTTCCTCTACCATCTCCAAAATCCCCATCACCTGCATGACCCCTAGCATTTCCTCTAGTACCATGGCTACCTCCACCACCTCCACATCTACACCCACCACCCTGCTGTTACTGTGCCCACCATCAGTAGGTCTACTCCAGCCATCACGTCACCCATTACAATGTCCTGAGTAGCACCAAGTACGAGGTGATAGGTTAGTTATCTTGGGTGTGTTATCTCATTGCATCTCCATAATTTGGTTAAATACGAGAAATCAGAAGTTCAGAGAGTTTTGGTAGCATCTTTATGGTTACTGAGCTCAAGGTGGAGCAGATAGTAACTTGGGGGTCTCCATCCACAATCTTCCTCTGTCATTCCTTGGGGACAAAGGGCATTCGTTTTGCTTTCCTTCCTCTTATTTTGGTGCTTCTCATGTGGCACAAATCCAATAAGTAGTGACATTCAATACTGGGTACTAAAGGAGGTGGCCTTCTGAATACCCAGCCCAATGGAGTGTTTAATTAAAGACATTCTGCACTG